TTATGTTATGTTATATTATATTATATTATATTATATTATATTATATTATATTATATTATATTATAGGAAAATGGGATGATTGTACTTATCCACAATTGCGGTGCCAGCCTGAGACGATCAAGGTAACTATCGAGCAATATCTTTTTAAATGTACCTTTTCTTAGGTGGGTGCTTTTTGGAATGAAACCTGAATGTTTATATTCCACAGTTTATATTCCACATGTCTTTGGTGTCTTCTTCCCAAATGGGAAGTATTAATGTAAACATGTATTATTGAGTATTTATACGAATATAAAATCGTGTGTCAAAAGAATATTTGGGAATAATATATGTGACATTGATGTTCGACATGGGAATATGTTTGGTCTCATTTTTATATTGTTTCCTCAAAAACGACTTTTTTAGCCACCGTGGTATTCAATTGTCCTTAGACGCAATTGATTTTTGTATATTTTTTATCACCAGATGTAATTATTGGGTTCCAAAACAACCCATTAAGCTAGTAGAATTGTATTGTGATTGTTTAAAAATTTCTCTAAACTAAGACAAATAACAATGTCTTTAAAGTAGCAGATCTTATTTATAACAAATAGAATTACATTTACCTTCTAATAATTCAATCAAAATTCGACTATGGCTGCAAAAAAGCACATTTTTTTTCCGCTTCTCTTTGTTTTTTAACCGAACCGAGACAGCACGATGTTATATAGACACTTAACAACCTTTGGATGATGCCTACGGCCATACCACGTAGAATGCACCGGTTCTCGTCCGATCACCGAAGTTAAGAGTCGTTGATTTCTCCATGTTTTGCATATGTGGCACGTGTGACTTTTAGCATCGAATCTGGGTTGAAAAGAGTCGGAATTATGTGGTCTATTGGAAATCGACTTGCAACTTGCGGCATGTGGCCGGATTGAGTCTAAAACAAAAACTCGAGTGTGCACCACGATGATGATTGTCGGAAAGCACTTATCGACTCAAAATGTAGAGATGGCCAAAATACAAATAGTGGATAAAACAAAATGAACTGAACCAAGACACCACGATGTTATATAGACACTTAAAAACCTTTGATGCCTACGGCCATACCACGTAGAATGCACCGGTTCTCGTCCGATCACCGAAGTTAAGCTGCGTCGGGCGTGGTTAGTACTTGCATGGGAGACCGGCTGGGAATACCACGTGCAGTGGGCTTTTTCTTTGTTTTTTTCTCAAAATGATACATC